GTCTGAGCATACAAGCTAAATAGAGCGAGCCTGGCAAAGCAGTTGGCAGGAGGCGGCAGAACCCTTAGTAACACCATTTTTGTGTGGCGTGAATCAGTAGATGATGCTCGTCTCTGAGTCAGTAGCCCCAGCTTGAGGTGGCCTCTTTCAGATGAGACGCAGCAAGCTTGCAGAACACTTGAGATCATTTAATGCTCCCATGTCTTGTGTCAACCGTACCTGAATATTGTAGTGCTGCTGTGTGCTATTAAAAAGCTACCCTGTTACCATTCAGATATGGATGAAGGTATACTCATATCAGAGGTAATTCAGGGGCTTCATTAATCGTTTATAACTCTCCCTAGGCCTGAAGGGCATTTGTGCCCAAAAGCTTGCAAAGAACTATTTTTCCAGCTATTTAGTTGGTGTAATAAAAGATATCACATCTACCCAAAGAACCTTGTCTGTCTAATCATTTATAACGCATTTGAGATATGGGGGTCAAGGATGCTATACCATAGAAGGCAGTACTATTCACTGAGGGGAATACTGCATTCAGTACTCTGATATTGAAACAGTCCAATGAGATAAATAGGAGATAAACACTTGCAAATTAAAATTCTATTAAGAGTGGTAACCTAATATGTCTAGATTCTACTTTCCTAAAGTGGCACAGGTAATATTTACAGCATATTGTAAGCCTAGTCTATAACTGTCTGACTATAAAAAAAGTTGAAGAATAGTGAGGCTTGTCAGAAGGCCTGTCTTTGGCTGTATATATGTTATCTTTCCATTGTCAAATACTTTCCTATTTTAGGACAAACAAATACATTCTATTTTAGAATTGAAAGCATTTGTGGCATGCTTTATTCAAAGTGGCTGGGGACATTGGGGGACTAAGTGATTTGGTGTTTTAGAGAGTATTGTTGCAAGACATTGGGGTACTGAGTGATTTGGTGTTTTAGAGAGTATTGTTGCACTTAGGTCAGAAATATGAACTCTAAAAAGCCAATTAACATTTTTCACCTGATGTGATTATTGCTGAATGCCCATTTCATCTGCAGTTAAAATTCTTTGAATGAATCACTCATCTTGCTCTTTTTAGTAATTAAGTTGCATGTATTCTGCTAAGAGATAAATGCAATATTGGCCATGTTTGGAAGTTAGAATTCTTTTATCTCAAACCCACAGCAGCTGGATGTTTAAGAAGAAGAGTTCTATTAAAAGGGGCTGTCTCTCTTTCCTGTCTTCACTGTTATTGTGCATGAAGGTAAAGATTTCTTTCCTGGTAAAATGCCGTTTCTGACCCAGGTCCTGGTCCTGCTCCTGCAGGTTAAGTTTCATGGGTGACTCTGGACAACCCCCAGGTGGACCCTGCATGGGTGGAAGGGTCTGCTTCTGCAATTCACTGCTGAAATTAGATGTAGGAGTGGATCCTACAGACCTGCCTGTGCTCTTCATGGTCTCCAAGGAATTCCATAGAATGGCAGTGGGACTGTATTTGCTTTCAGGTGGAAACAAGCATGGTTTTAAAATAGAGAAGTAAGCTTATTTGGATTGCATTAGACCTCCAGTTCCCAAGTCAGATACAGTGAAGAATCACAACACGTGTCTCTCTGTGATGGCAAACAGAACACTGCTACGCATCTGAGATGCACCTGATAAGGGTATGGACAGGTAATGTGTATAGTCATTTCAGTAGCTTATATAAAAGTGAGAGATGGGAGAAGGTTATATTTAACCTCCTGACCTGAATATAACAGGTTAGTCATCATTTAAATAGAGAAGTAGGGCTGGAAGGGAACTCCAAAAGCTTATCTAGTCCAGCCTGCTCCTCCAGGCAGGATCATCCCTATACAATCCATAATCTAAACTCTTTGTACTAGTCAGCCCAGCCCTACCTCACTGTGCTTAGCTGCCCCTCTTTCTCCGATGCAGCTCTTCTATGATATGTTCCAAACTCTGCAGCACGTATGGCAAGATAAACCTTTAAAAGCACAGGCAGAGGAAGTTTCTGTGAGCATCTGCTCAATTGCCACCCTGCAAACTAAGCCACAAGTCCTCCCACCCACCTACTTGTCCACCTCATGAATGGCACCATAAAATGCCTGCATCTGTGCGATGCTTCACCAGCTTGGGCCCTGCCCTCGTTCTGTCTGGGATGAGGAGTATATCTAGTGGGGGAACTAGGCTGTTTATGAATGAATCACAGTTCACAGCCACAAGCAGGCCTGACATCAGCACGAGGCCAAGACACAGGTGGTAACGGTCTGGTTCAAGAAAGCTCAGAATGCCAACTGCATTACAGGTGCATGATGAGGGATGAGATTCTATTGTGAGGAACATAGTGGAGGTCAAGGGACCGTGGAGGGGTGGGGGGAAAGGACTCCATAGAGCTGTGTTTTGCCATTGCCTGCCGAGGACCTAGAGCCAACCAAAGACAACATGGGAGACTGGGAAGCCTTGGAGGAGAAACCTTTACGTGCAAGGCTCACAGGCAGATGAATGTGTCAAGAAGGAACCCAGGGAAGACCAAGAGAGTCCATCCTTGGGGTTGGAACCTAGCAGGACTTGTTTCTCCTGCTGCACAGAATTGTAGAAAAGGAGGAATGAAAGGGACCTCAGGAGGTCATCCAGTCCAATCCCCTGTTCAAGGCAGAATCAAGTGCCTGTCAAAATCTTCTCAAAACTTCAGAAACACTTTGCATACACAACTGGCAGGCATAATACCCAAAAACATTAAAAAAAGAGACCCTTTAATTTGCCACATGTAAGAGGACAGGAACTAGCTTATTAGAATACACTCAAGAGATCCAAATAAAAGGACTATGCTCCCCTGCTACAGAGGAAGCCTGAGACCACCATCCATGCCAATCTAATTGTGGGGTAAAATTCATTACTGATGACTATTGGTCTGTCCCTGAATGGAGGAGCAAGCCCTTCCAACCAAGAACTTCCAGGTTTCCAAATCCCAGTAGGGAGTATCAGCACTCCCCAGTCAAAATTCCCAGCAGATGAATACCTTAAGCCCATTTCTTAAATATGCAAGTACCTCTCCTTGAACACTATGATATGCAGGTAGATACTTACATGCAGCAACATACAGAAGCTGAAGTAGAATGGGAAGGAACCCGAAGAGGCAAGAACTACTCAATTCAGAAAAGCTCCTCCTTGAGAGGGAAGTCCTGAGATGTGGGCATTACATTAATAAGATACAGCTGGGTTTGTATTCAATCCCAGCTGTGCGCGTCTGGGAAGCAGATTTTATGGGCTAGTGACAAACTACATACCTCATCAGCCTTACCTTAGTTACCATACTTCTATGTGGTGGTTCAACTTATCAAGACTGTTCATTCACTTCAGTAACAAACAGATGCTTCCAAGTTAGAAGCTGGCTTCAGTTAGTCTGCCCACTTGTAAGGGACTCTACATACATATGTATTGGAGGTCATTCTGAGCAGGTATTCAGTATACACTGACCTCTTACTACAGTAGTAACAATGTTTTACATCACCTTACTATCCCTCTACTGCAATGACAAGAGACAAGAACTGCTAAGCCAACCCAGCATTCCCCAACCTCTTCCTAAGGCTCAGAGCACAGCTGCACAGAAGAGCTACTCATTGTTCATAGGACTCACTAGGTTAAGAAAGTAGATTAGGGTGCCTTTAGAAAACATATCAGCCAAATCCACTTTTGATAGCCTTCAAGTGGCTCTACTGAATTAACTCTCCAGCTTGTTATTGGTACAACCACAACTAGCTGGGTTTCTGAACTAAACTCACTGACTGACCCTAAATGTTCAAACGTGTTGGTTTCCTTGCTTTTTAGCTAGTTATTTTCCTATTCCAGATATAGCCCTTTTATATATTCCATTTATAAAAAAAGAAGCAGTTGGGGGCAAAAATAAACAAACAAAAAAACCAAAAAAAACCCCAACAAAACACCAAGATCAGCTGGTTGGTTCTTCTTGCTTGGACATAAAATTAACTTGGTTATAGCAGCCACAGAAGCAGCATGGGACTGTGCATGAAGAAGATGCGTCTCATTCTTCACTACTATCACTGAGTTTCTGGTTCTTTGTAAGCTAAGCAGCATCAAAACCTTAGTCTGGGCGGGGGGGACAAAAAACAACACACAAAACATGGGCCTGGACCCCAAGCAGGAGGGCAGAAGGGAGGAGCGGGCCTGGACCTGGGGGGGGAGAGTGGCAGCAGCAGCGCACCAGGCACTAAATTTCTGTTGTGTTACAGATCTGAACTAGTTTCTGGCTCACTTAAAATTACTGTGTGTGTAATTTTTGTCCCTAGCCCTAAAGATAAAATATGCTGTAAGAATATCCAACAAGAAGCAATGCTTCCCTGAAATTAATGCTATGTTAAAACACAAGTTAAGTTCATCACGGGGGCACAGAAGGGAAATGGTGAGGATTTATTCACCCAGGGGTTACAAGAAATAATGGCCACAAGCTAGCAGAGAGCAGATTTAGATTGGACATTAGGAAGAACTTCTTCACAGTTCGAGTGGCCAAGGTCTGGAACGGGCTCCCAAGGGAGGTGGTGCTCTCCCCTACCCTGGGGGTCTTCAAGAGGAGGTTAGATAGGCATCTAGCTGGGGTCATCTAGACCCAGCACTCTTCCCTGCCTATGCAGGCGGTCGGACTCGATGATCTGTTGAGGTCCCTTCTGACCCTAACATCTATAAATCTAACATCTACAAGTCTTCCAGGAAAGCACACGATTTAACTCTACTTGCACAACATTTGTTGCAAACGAAACTACCTGCCGATTAAGAAACTTCCTCGTTCTGGGGTGATGAAGAGGTTGCAAATATTTAAAATTTAGGAGAAGGACCTGAGCTGGCAAAGAGTAGTAGAGACCTCCCCACAGTGTACAGCCCACCATTCCATTAAGGGTGCACTGTGCAGAGGTCAAACTATAAAAATCACAAGAGACAAATACAAATTGAATGCCATCATGGATGGATGCTTAATTCATATATAGCAAAGAACAAGCGACCACTTATTTCAATAGACTTTATTTTAAAGCAGTTAGGTCACAACACTAAGCTGATCCCATCTGACATACACAAGCTACAAATGCTTGTTTGACAGCTAAGGATCAATCTTTAGTAGCATACTTGAAAAGTGAATAAAAATCCATATAAAAACAATATTCAAATAGTTTCCATAGGAACACAGATAAATGTGACCCCCATCTCCTAGTTATCCATTTTGTTGCATTTATACTAAACCTAGACTTGAAAAAAAAATTTAAAAATTCTAGCAAGATTTAAGTTAATGGTCCCCAAAATGCCCTAATTTCAAATACTAAAAACTTGCAAATACTAACTAAAATGGGTCTATAACGTTAATAGTAGCTGAAGCACAAGTTGCTGAATATTCAATTCCACTTTCCCAGGCGCAAGACAGTGGCAGAGTAGTGACATCCTGCTCCTCCACCTCAGCTGGAAAACCTTCCTCCTTGATCTGTTGCATTAGTTGCCTATATAAGGAGATGGGGGGGGAAAAAAAAAAAAAAAGAGAGTCAACATCAAGAGAACAGTTTTAGGGCCAACCAACTACTTCAGGATGTCCAATTTATCTTGACCCTTCCAACAGGACATGTTTAACTGCCCGTAAGCCAAACTGGCATAACTAGCCTTTACCTGCAGATATACCTCTATTTTGGAAAACTTACCACTGTGATCAGTAGAAAGCAGCTGAGCTTTAAAACTGGTATATTCAGCATAACAGGAATAGCAATATGTAAGCTACTTCTGCCTTATCTGGACACGTACAATTCAGACTTCATCCAGTTAGGGAAAAAAGACATGTCAACTGACTATTCCACTAAGTGTCATCCTTCCTAGATACTATGGACCTTCAAATAAACAGCTCTTCCTCTTAGAAAGCTCTTACTCCCCCAGATAGTGGTAGTCAAGCAGATTGGGCACCTTAAAATTGAAGGATGAAGCCTTTCCAAAACTGGAAAATTTTGCTATTAATACCAGAGTGGTAGAGCCTTTCCAACAAGACCTACTGAAGGTGACAGTTTCTGCAAATATAGGGTATAGACAGATATAGCAATTATACTCATTTCAGAAGATTGCAATACAAAGGGCGCGTCTACACGAGAAACATTAGTAAGCATTAACCTAATTTAATGGACATTGTAGGCACGTGTCTATATGTGCATGCCCCTAATGTGCATTAAAAACGGTAAAATTAGGTTAATCGCGCCTAAAATTTGATACCTGCATTTGCAGGTATCAACATTTTAGGCACAATTAGTTAAAGCACATTAATGCACACAGACATGACCCAGCACTAACTTTAGTGCCGGGTCCGCACAGCCACATCACAGGGCTGCAGGGACTTGACACCAATTTTAGTGCCAAGACTCTGCACATGTAGACACCTGCCAAAAAGGCTGCTTAATGCACATTAAATTTAGTTGCGCTTAAAATGTACTTGTAACACCTTTTGGGCGTGTCTACAATGCAACTGTTAGATCTACAAGATGCTGTAGTGCTACAAGCATCCCAGAACTACTCCAGTTTTAAACTCTGCTTCATTGGGGGTGAAATTTGGGATGAATTTAGCCAACTTAATTGCTACAGGATCCTGCAGATTTAAACAGTTAAATTACAACAGCTGCTGCACTGCCCCAGACAAGCAACTCCCCCTTTCTTTTTAAAAGCAATTAAAATATATGTTTGTCCATGTGCACACTCAAGTCTACTCTGGGACATTTTCCTCATTGCAGTCAGTTAAGTTAAAAGTGTAATATCCTCCATGTCCCACTGGAAAAAACAAAACAAAAAACCCCCCAGGAAACCAAATGGATTGGGTATTTCACTTCTTAGAGCTATTCCCCACCCTGCCCAAGGTACTTCAGAGAGATGTTTTCCTATGACTATTAATTTACACTTCATTCATATTTAGTAGCTTTGTTTTGATACAAAAGGGGACCACATAAGCACCAGAAGGGCAGATACTGGGCACCACTCTCTTAATATTAAAATTGTGATATCCGAGAGAACTTCATTTTACCTTTTCCCCCACCCCTGTAATGTCCTGCTGTCACAAGGGCAATCAAAGATTTTATACACACCACTTATGTGATAGAAGTTGACCAGCTTTTAAAAGAATACTTCCACATTATGGTTGACTGTCTACATCAAGTGATTTTCCTGTCAGCTTGTTTTAGTTCAATAAACTGCTGTTTACTGAACTAAACCCAGGTAAATAGAGATCCTTGGTATAAAGAAAACAGCATTTGTTATTACTATGTCTAGAACAGGGTGGGCAAAACGCGGCCCAGGGGCCAGATGTGGTGCGCCAGGCCATTCTATCCGGCCTGCAGGGCCCCTAAAAAGAAATTTAGAAAGTTAACATTAATCTGCCCTGGGCTGCCCGTCATGCGGCCCTTGATGGCTTGCCAAAACTCAGTAAGCGGCCCTCTGCCCAAAACAGTTGCCCACCCCTGGTCTAGAATGACTTCAGTCAGTCATTTTCACTAAACCTCTTTATACTGGACACAGCACTTGAAGGTCTTAGCTACTGAAGAGTACAGTTGTTTAAGTATTCCTTTAATTACTACTTGCTACAGACGGAATTTGGATGATTTAGGTTTGTCTTCAAAAGTAGGTACAAAGTAGCTTTACTCATTGGTATGCTTATAAGAAGTGCCAGCAAGGCATTATTTACCAGATATTTTTATCAAGACTTCTTGGAAGACAAGGTTCTTTGGGTGACTGATATCTTTTATTAGACCAACTTAAATAGGTGGAGAATAGTTATTAAGCAAGCTTTCGGGTTCAAAAACCCTTTGTCAGGCTAAGGAAGTTTCAGCAGTCGGTGTGTGTGCTCTTCCTGGATGGAATGAAAAAGTAAAGAAATAAAGATGCTCATTCCATCCAGGAAGAGCACACACACTGACTGCTGAAACTTCCTTAGCCTGACAAAGGGTTTTTGAACCCGAAAGCTTGCTTAATAATTGTTCTCCACCTATTTAAGTTGGTCTAATAAAAGATATCAGTCACCCAAAGAACCTTGTCTGCCTATGTCCTTAGACCAACACAGCAACAGCCTACACCCCGACAACCTGAAGTAGAATTTTTAGAGTTACTAACCATGCAGGCCTCGACATCACATAATATATTGCTGGTCTCTGAAATCCATTAAACGTAGAAGCAGCTGCAACAGTATAGGCACCCATATTTTCAAACAGGATCCAATCACCAACTTGCAACTCTGGCATATCAAAGCGCTCAACAATACGATCCAGACCATCACATGTTGGCCCCCATATGCTGCAGGAATAATAGCCCTCATCTGGCTTGGGTCTCTGAAGGGAGAAGTTTAACAGTTACTATCTTTGCAATATTTAAGGAGGACTGAAAACAGGAATCTACATACAGTAATTGCAATGCTGAAATTAAAGGCTGGGTTCTAGTTCTAACATGCAAGAAAAAGGTAGCCGCTGCTCCATATTTTCTACAGTGGTCAACTGCATAGTCCAAGGCCACATTTGTCAACCCAGAGATTGGCTGGGGTAAAAAGAATCGAAGATGGGAAGAACTAGACTTGCTGAGGCACCAGTTTTTTTTACTACCTCTACATTAAGAGTGTGATGAGCAGTATTAGCTATAATGAAGTATACAAACCTTTTGCAAAATGGGCTTAACATGAGCATGATCATATAATATGCAGTTAAATGATCCATACACTCCATCGTTCACATAGTACATGAGAGTTTTGTCATTAGTATCATCTTCATCTGGAACAAAGAGATGAGAAGATGCCAATAAGAATCTTTGGGAATACTTGCACCTGACTGCAAATACCATCAGGCGATTAGATTTACATACCATCAGAACCTGCCTGCTCCTTTAATACAACTTTTTTTGCAATTATGTTAACTGCCAATGTGAAAGCTGATGCAACATAGTATCTTCCAGGTTCTGCAATAATTTTTACTCCAGAATCAGAAGGAAAGTATTTGTCCAGCGCTGGATTGATTACATTTGTGATCTAAAAGATACAGAAAAGTAAACTGTTATTTGCTGATTTGATGGCCAATTAAGTAACTTTTTTTAAAAACAAACAAACAAACAAACAAACCAACCAACCAACCAACAAACCAACAAACCAACAAACAAAAACAAAACACCACCTTGTAAGATGAAATCTTAAACCCATGACAAAATACTATGCCCAGTATGTCATAGCTACTTGCTTAATCTAAAAAAGAATCGTTTTACCTGCCCATACCATTTTAGGCCATCTTTAAGATTTTACAGATCTGAGAGTAGTATATGCAGAGTAAGGTATTATCTTCAATACTTATTCAATATTTATAAAAGCATACATTTTAAAAATTAAGTTTAAACAAGAGGTCCACCACACATCCTGGTTGGCTTCCCACAAGTCATTTAAAGCCTTGGTAATTTTTTAGAAGCCAGGTTTGAGATGGAGAAATCATTTCCAGCATATGTACAATCTCTCTGGGCACGTCTACACGTTCATTACTGTGCAGTATGTAGTAGATACTGCACATTTAGTTTAGTACTTGCTTAACGAAGTACTAACTAAATGTGCAATAACTATAGTTACTGTGTAGTAGCACCGGCACATGGTTTTGTGATGCTTACTGTGCGGTAGTAATACTACTGTGTAGTAGTGTATGGTCATGGTTTTTCCCCAGCACACTACTGTGTGGCGTTATTAGGCTACTGTGCATTAAGCGTCTTGTACAGATGCTCCCTTTTATTCACAAAATGGTTCTACCTTTTTGCAACCCAAAAAAAAATTACATCTTTTTTTCATATTTTAAGAGCTGTAAAAGCATTTCTCTCTATTTTGGAACAGAACTACTCATTCCCATTTTATTAAGACATGGACAATAATTCAAGGATGCAGCAACTAGGCATTTAGCTGGTATAAACTGATGTGGTGCTGCTGGACTGCATTTAATATTATTGCACATCACTCATTGTCCATTCTTATGTCAGGCGACTGCCATTCTTAAAGGGTTGGGTCACAAAGGACAGTGCAGTTTATTGCAACTTCCAACATAAGAAATGCTATAGGTCTACAGTCTGACCCAGTTATTCTAGCCCAGTACACTACCTCACATGTATGGAAGTTGGAGGTGGGGGGGGGGGTGTTAAAAAAAACAAACAACAACAACAACAACAACTCCTCCAAGATCTTTCACCCCCTTCTCCAGTTGCAGCTTGTAAATATGAACAAAACTGCAAGATCAGGTCCACGATAGAGTTCGTACAGCAATAATCTGCTTTCTTGTACAGCTATAGCATCTCAACCACAGAGTAACTAGTCTTTAATTATATAGTCTTAGCACCCCTCTAACTCCTAATTTAAGAGCCTTCACAAGTCTTTGCCATGTGTATATATTATACCAAGTTCCTTAACTAAAGCCATACAGCTATTTAATGAGGCAGTGCCAACTTTATTTAATTCTATTATTAGGTAACACATGAGAATTATGGACTTCAAAATTTAGTCATGAAAAGGATTCCTTTAAGATATTAGGAGCTTTAATACTGACAAAAGAGAAAATGCAAGATGGCCTTGACATGTGCATGGTCCTATAATATGCACTAAATATATTTTTGCCCCAAGTTTGCATCATAGATAATTAAAATGCCTCTACAATCTGATGATCATGTTAACTAGTCACCCATACCTCTTCATATTTAAGCTTGACATCTTCAGAACCAGGAAAGCCACCGCCAATATCAAGCAGGTACATACTGAAACCAAGCTCAGCCTGAAAAAGTAAATGGGACACTATCATGCCAAGTAGTGATTCAGGAACCATTTTTAAACTTGCTTCTAACACCTTAGTATAAGGCTGCTGGTTTTGGTTTGTTTTTGTTTTTTTAAAAAACAAATCACATTTTGCTATGACAATTAAAAAACAAGAAACAGACTAGTCCATTTTATGTCCTGGTTTTCATGCACTGGTAGCTTGTATACCTCTCACACACCCAGACCCCACAAAGACTTATAGTCAACTTAAATCTCATATTTTCCACAACACTCTGATACTGTATCATATGTCTGAGTTATCACAGTTCAAAAACAGTTGCCTATATTTCACAATATGAACACTCAATACAACATGGAAAAGGCTAAACCTCAATTAAGTTGATGTTTTGGATTCAGAGTTGTACATAGCTGTTCAAGTGGCAATTCATTCTGACAAACTAGTGGTATTGCCTGTGCAGTAACATGATGGTGCAAAAGCAATGCTCTTAAAAAGGAAATGTGTACTTACTCCCATATCAAAGACACAACGGGCATCAGAAATAGCTTGAACAAAGGTTTCTGGGTCTGTACAGCCACTTCCCACATGGAAGCTAGGAGACAGAGGCAAAGATTCTAGTTGCCATTTGGTAATTTGAGTTATAAGCAGCCACTTAGACAAAGCTCTGTAGCACTTCAGGGTACCAATAGAAAAAAAAAAAAATTCTTCATCATAACTGTTTCTAATAATACATTGTTAACAAGTAATCTTCTGAAAAATCATGTTTTGACAGTTTGTTTTCATGAGCAAAGTTATAACTAACCTGACTCCAATAATGTTAAGGTTCAGTTCTTTTGCCCGCTCCAAAAGAACTCTGCTCATTTTAAGAGTAGCTCCAAATTTAACACTCAGGCGACAAACTGCTTTCGAGTCATCAGTTGCAATGCGCAAGACCAACCTAGAAACAACATCCAATTTAGTGCCTTATCTAGTGCATCTTATCTACAGCAACAGATAATTTGGTCAAAAAGAATTCAACCATGTATTTGGGTACCTTATAGCCAGTCTAAAGTAAGATATCAGGCAAATGCGGCCTTAATGTGATTAAACTCATTTATATATGCAAACAGTTTTTCCGGTCTGCTCTTCCTCATGAGCTAATAAACTACCAAGATGTAAATTTCAAAGTCATGTGAAAAAAAAAAAAGCATTTGTTTTGGCATTTCACTTGCTAGACAGATTTCTACATCCTCTTCCAACTAAAGAATAATAATAAAGCTAAGTTTGTGTTACTCAGGGAACTGGCTTATATAAAACAATCTCTGATAGTAAGCTTATTAACATACACAAAGAAACAGTAGATGCTTACTTTGCCTTTGGATGTGCCCTTGCAATTTTCATCAGCTCTACTTCACTATCAAAAGTCATCATCTGTACACCATTATTTGCAGCATGCTTGATCTGAGAGACTTGTTTGCAAGGATTTGCATATATTATTCTCTCAGGAGATACACCCATGCTCTGCACCAGCTGCATTTCAGTCTGAAAAAGAATTACTTTAGTAGGTTACAGTCTAGGAAGAAACAAGATATCCAACGTCTTCAACAAATGAATGATCAAACTCGTTAGAAAGCATATGAAAATGCAGATCTTGCATTCAGTTAACACTTGATGGTGTTCAGCTTTGCTTAGACAAACTTGTTGTACAAAACAAACAAACTTTTCTTGGCACTGAAGCACTTACCTTACTGGCACAGTCGAATCCTGCACCAAGAGAAGCAAGCGTCTCCACTACAGTTCTGCTGTCATTACATTTGACAGCATAAAACGGCTTTACTCTAGGGAGGGCTTTATGCCACCGGATGTGCTTCTTTACAATATCTCCAAGGTCAGCAACATAGTAGGCATCTTTATCATCCTAGAAGGAATGTGTTATATAATTTTACAAGTCTGTTTACTTCAAGTTGTATGCAGTAAGATCAGGCAGATTATCTTGTACAAAATTCTTAAAACAGGATCTGGGACCAAGATATCCATGTAGTAGAGATACCAAAAATCTGGCTAAATGCTGGTCTGTTGCACCGTTTAAGCCCCTGAAAAACTGCTAATGCATCTATTGCTACAATACACATTATTCATTTTAGTCTTAAGATATCCAAATCACAGAAAGCAAGGAGGCGGGAGCTCACCCGAGTGAGAGGGAAACCTGTATGCCCAATGCTTTTTATACACTATTTTATGTAAAATACGTAAACAGCATTGGGAGCAGAGCCCAAAGCACAAGGCTCCCCCTCTCCCATGGGAGTACCCTCCTCAACTGTTTGTGGAGTCAGTCTGCCTTTCTTCCAGTTTGGGCCCCAAGACTCTTGCACTCCTAGTTGGCTGGTGCCTTAGCTTCAAGACAGTGAGGATGACCTGAACCCTTCCTAGCCCGTAGAAAAGTGTCTTAACCACCTGACTAAGTGGGAGATACGGCTTCAATTCATGGTATGCCAAAGAGAACCTAGAGCCCAGGTCTCGCACTTCCTACCTTCATTACTAAAACCTCTTTAGCAAGGGGTAGCTAGGTCTTCCTTGGCTAGGATCCCAACATGGAGTGCATTATGTACAGCCCCAAATTCAGATACACTCCTGTGCCTTACATTTCCTATTGGCTGTCTTTATGTGACCCCCTGTGCAGAGCTTTATGCCTTGCCAGAATGGGAAACCTTGCATGCCCACAGGATAGAATAGGGTCACCCTCTTCAGGGCTCACTAGACTGCCTATTGAGAGAATAAGAGAACAATGTGCAAAGCTGCTACAAAAACAGACATGCAGTAGGCAGACTAGGATCTGGACCTTGGTCTATAGAGCTGTACTATCAGAAAATGCACTCTTGTTTTGATAGCATACTTACAGAGGAAGACACTTCATTTATTTTTTGGTCTAGAATATCCTTGGCAGTAAAGCCTTCATCAAGCAAGAGGACATCAGACTCCTCGTTGCTGAAGCTGGTCATGGTCTAAGCGTTTAAGTATACGTCTAAGGTGATTTCTAGTGCAACAAACTTGATACAAAAAAGGAGGATTCATGAATTAATTCAAATTCATGGAACAATGCAAACATTAGTAAAAGCACTGGACAGGAACAACTAGAAGATAACTTACATGAATAGCTAGAAGATGGCAGTTGTACTCAGGATTCTTTCAGCTACGTGCCCAAAGAGGCTCTCCAGAAAAACAAACTCCTGCTAACTACAAAACAAGTTGTGTGGCCTCTGTGCAGCAGTTGGAGAATGTAGCTTTGACACTGTTTAAGAAGAAGAGAAAAAAAAAACAAAAAAAAACACCAAGTCAAATGCAGTGTCATATTTGCAAATCTGTTCTGGAAGTTAAAAAAAAAAAATATATATCCTAAATTGTCCTCTATGTTAGCACCAGAAAGAACCTGAAAAGAACTGCACCTTAAAACAAAGTCAATTGTAAAATAAAGGTGCTTCCATTTCTGACACCATGCAGCAGGAACTGTTTTCATTTACTACATTATTCATCATTGCATCTCTTTGAAATTCATTTACAAGTAATTACATGTGCAATAAGAACCAATCAAGTTACAGGCCTCTGAAAGCTCCATTTCCAAATGCTCAGAGGTTTATTAGAGATTAAGCTCCCTGAAGGGAATGGGCATTGTTCCAGATCAAGGATGTGACAGCTTAGAAAGCTTTTCCCTAAAATTGTTCCATCTGCCTACCAGCATCTACTGTGGCATGAAACTCTCCTCTATTTTAGCAATTTTTTCCTCCACCAGCCCAAAAGCAACATGAAGGCAGCCCAGCCTGCATACAACTTGCCAGAATTCCTGAAGATCAATACTCCTCTACTGTCCCACAGAAAAGAACCCTGCTAGCAAGTTACAGTTTCAACCCAAGTGGTAACAGCACATGCTGTGGATCCAAAGCATCCAGCATGGTTCTCACAGCCAGAAGTGACTGTGAGAATATACATTCTGCAGACTGTAAGGGCTTGTAGTACATAAAATAACCCCCACGTTGAACCAGTAACTTTGGCTAGACTAAATATTTCTGGCCCCAAAGCATACTCTTATCAGTGGCACAAAATGTAATGCTGGTGATTGAGGCCCCTGCAATAACAAGGACTTCCTTGGAGATGGAAGATGACAATCTTTAAAGGCAAAAAATCATGCACTAATCAAGCAGCAGGATGGTAACTCCTTCCCATGTCCAAGTCTCCAATAATCTGACCTAGACAAACAGTACTCAGTCGCAAACCTAGCCATCCGTATGGTCTCTGTACCACCCCAAAGCACAAGCACACTCTATTCAGCTTCCTACCCATGTGCTGATGTTGATTTACCACCACTTCTGGGAAACTTCATCTTATTTTAAGGTTCTGTCCAACTACTGCCTCATTTGAGAAACAAGTCTGAAAGGTGCATAGACCATTAAGCAAACTGATGAAGGAAAAAAATAAATTCTGCATTAAGCAACCAAATGCTGTTCTAAGGAACTGGATCAAAGATAGAGGTTATTAGAAGCACAGTACTCATTAATTGATCTAAAATGCCAGATAACGCTAATCCTGCAGTGTAGTATATAGTCTCTGTGCTTGCATCTCCCTTCTGTGAAGTGGGGATCATATGACACTGGGAAGGGGGGGGAAACCAGGTTAGTCTCAACTCTACCAACAAGATCTGTACTGCAATCAGGAGAAAAAAAAAAAAAAGCAGTGTTTGTATTTCATACAGGGTGTGGATAGCACCAAAGAAATAAGAGGGAGGGAAACACATGGATGAATCATAAGGACAAAGAGCAATACTTTCCAACAATGCAGAGAGAGAACAGAAGCCAGCACGCGACACTAAAGGCTGCTGCCAAATGGTTACACACAAGAAGGGTTCGATTTCGGTGGCACGAGCAAGCTTCAGAGCCCTTCCTGCTCTTGCAAACCACTGCACAACCACTGGAAGGCAGGAGGAAAGGTTTCACAAGGCATTTTCTTGGCCTCTACCCCTCACAGCCCCGCCCCCGAGAGCGAGCCAGATGGGGTAAGCCGCAGAGGGGTCTGACGCTAACCGGAAGCGGTGCGTTGCGCAATCAGCAGCTGCCCGTTTGCGCAGGCATCCGTGTCAGCCCGTGTTGTGTCCAGCCCCGCAGTGTCGCCTTGGATTTCTGCGGGGGCGGTAGCATGCCTGACAAGTAGGAAGTTTTACACGTTTCGGGTGACAGCTTCTTCCCAAGGGGGCCCGGGGCCCTCCGACCCCCGGTGCTCGGCACCTCTGCTATGACCGGCACGTGCCTCCGCGGTGCCGGCTCTGAGCTCTGCTTCGGGGCCTCCCCTCACGGTCATTTTGGGCAAGTCCTGGATCGGCCACGTTAAGCTCTTAAAGCACTCGTTAGGCGGCCCAAAGTTACCACCGCAGGGCAGGGTAATCCCTCGATCCGCCCGGCCCCGCTCCTGTGCCACCACGGGGAGGGGCGGCGCGGCGCGGCGCGCACTCCGCTCCGGCCCCCGCTGCCTCCAGGGACAAAACGTGCCACCGGGGGATGCCACGTCAAGCGTCTGCAATCCAGGGAGCGGGGCCCCCTGCAGCAAGGTCCCCGCCCGGGTGAGGCCCCCGGGACACCGCCGCCCCCCGTGGCCTCGTGCCCGCGCCCAGCAGGCCCCGGCCCCTGCGACA